CCTTTGTTGACTTTTGAATCCAGACTGGATTCTAACCTTTGTCTCTGTCTTCCAGGAAACCTGTTTTTCTCCTGTGAAGCTCAGGAAGAGCTTAACCTGCCGAGCCTGCCCTCTGAGCCAAACCTGAAGCCTCTCTCTGGATTTCCATGCAGCTCTGGACCAAGAGCTGGAAAATCTAAGCCAAGGTCAGCTCACTCTCAAGAAGTAAGACGCTGAAACAGTTTACGGACTCTGCTGAACAAACTATCTCCGGACCCAACAGTTTCCCTCTCAAGGCTTTAACCAAGAACCCTCAAGGTACAAATCTGAAACTGTCAGAATCAAACTCCTCTGCGCAAACGCTAACTGAACTGTCTCCCACGCAGACTCCAGTGAACCAGTTTCCCCAGGCCTGAACCAGAACCTGTGATTAACTCTGTGCTTGTGACAATAAACATTGTTAAACCTTTTACTTCAGTTTCCGTCTCCGTGGTGTTCTGCATCATTGGGTCTCACTAGTGAACCCATCATGACATCCGGCCAAAGTGGACATTTCTGATAAAGGTGGTTATGTGCTGCCATGTCAAAAGGAATAATCAGCGTTTTAGCTTCTTAAACAACAAATTATGCGCCAGAAAATCCTTAACGCCATGTGAGCGCCTGATGTTTACAGTTTCTGGCATAGCTATTATGGAGCTCGACAGCTTATTTATGTGGGTTGATGTAAATGACAAGTTTTTTTAAAACAATGTTGCGTGCACAACGTTATTATTGAAAATATAGGGGGGGACATTCATTTCTCTAAATATGTGTAAATGTGGCCTCAATGCATTTAGGCATGTAGACATGGTGAAGACGATCTTCTGCAGTTCAAGCGGAGCATCAGAATGGAGAAGAAAGGTGGTTTAAGTGACTGATTGTGGTAAGGTTGTCGGTGTCCTAGTATTTCAGAAAGTGCTGAGCCACTGGGATTTTTTATGAACAACCATCTCTAAGGTTTACAGAGAACGGTCTGAAAATGAAAAAAATATCCAGTGAGTGGCAGTTCTGTGGGCTTAAGTGACTTGTTGATGCCAGAGGTAGAAGGAAAATGGCCAGACTGGTTGGTGTTGATATAAAGGCAAAAGTAACTCAAATAACCACCTGTTACTATGGAAGTATGCAGAAGAGCATCTCAGAATGTAAAACACTTCGAACCTTGAGGCGGATGTACTACAGCAGCAGAAGGCCACACTGGGTCTGACCTTGTCAGATAAGACCGGGAACTGAAGCTACAATTCATACAGACTCAACAAAATTGGCCAATAGAAGATTGGAAAAACACCGTCTGGTCTGGTGAGTCTCTATTTCTGCCTCGACATTCAGATGGTACGGTCAGGATTTGGTGTCAACAACAAACAAGCTTGGATCCATCCTGCTGTGTGTCAATGGTTCAGACTGGTGGTGGTAATGTAATGGCATGGACAATATTTCCTTAGTATCAACTGAGCATTTTGTCAATGCCACAGCCTACCAGAGGTTGTTGCTGACCATGTCCATCCCTTTATGACCACAGGGTAGACATCTTTTGATGGTTAATTCCAGCAGAATAACAAGTAAATCTTCTCCGACTGGTTTCCTGAACATGACTACGACTTCACTGCATTAATGAACTCCACAGTCACCAGATTTCAATGCACTTAAACACACAAACACATAACAGGAGAGTTGTCATGGATGTTTAGCTGACAAACCTGCAGCATCTACATGCTATCACGTCAATTTGGACCAAACTCCCTGAGGAATGTTTCCGGGAGCATTTTAAATCTATGCCACGAAGGATTAATGCAGTTCTGAAGGCAAAAGGAGTCCAAATAGCAAGCTGTACATACTGTAATAAAGTGGCAGGTGAGTGTAGATTGTCAACTCTCCTTTTAACAGTTTAGCACTTTGTACAAACATACTTTTTAAATAAATTTTATTATTGAATCTTTTTTAAGATTAAATGTTTTAGAAACACAGCCAAGAGATGCATGATTGCATTGCAGATGAGGCTGGTTGTTTCTCAACTCCAGGTTCATGTCAAGGACTGTCTGATAGTTTTGATCCAAAGGCTGCTATGAGTCTTGGCCTGGTCCCATAATTTAGTCAGTTTTGGGGAGAATTGCATCAGAAACTAAGTACAGTACTGATTTTTTCCAATAAAGTGTCAAACTTTCATTTAGGGTTATTAAACATGAAGACTTTGAAATATGTTAAAAAGCAAGTAAACAAAACCCTAAGGGGATTAAACACTGGCATGATTATTTCTCTTTACATTTTAACATCTACGGATGCCACCATACAGTCCAAAAGTCCAACAAAAACATTTAAAAATGTGTAACAAAGCTGGAACAAAATGTCAAAGGTCTTCCTGTATCTTCTGGCTGCAATGCTAAAAGCAAATTATTTCAGAATAATAATAATTCAGACTCACTATTGTAACATAATTGTAATATATAAATTCAAAACAGACTTATACCAAAACCCAGTCAAACGTATACTAAGTTGTCACACCAGTATATATATATGAATGCAAACAACAAAAAAAACATTATAAAACAAAACATAATTGAATTAACAGTTTTACTTTTTGTACATAAATCTTGCCCTTCGGAGGCTTGGTGAAGATAAATCTGTGTTTTGTATGTTGTTTCAAAAACCTGAAAAAATAATATGCCAGTTTAATAATAGGGAAGCTATTAGTCATCTTTATATATTTTTTTAATATATAAAAAATAAAAACTATTTATCTTCTGAGAATGTGGTTATTTAAGAGCAACTATGCAAATTAACAAACATCTACAAAAAGTACGATATATTATATTTTTTTCCTTGTGAATCCCAGATTGTTCATTCTTCTTTGCCTTTTCTAAAGAGTGATTTAAATCAGTCCTACCTGTCTTTATCCATACTGGGGGAGATCATTGATGTTTGAAAAAGGAGGCAGAATAAAGCGTTAGCCTCGCTACATGCAGTTAGCCAGGCCTTCTTGCTAAAAAAGGTCCTTAAAGGACTGAGTGAACAGTCTCCATCTATCTTTGGACTGCTGATCAATGTTGATGTTCAGCTTATCAGGTCCAGGATCCTTCGCCTCCAGCTTCTCTTGGCAAGTTCACTTACAGGTGTTGTTCCAGATTATTAACATAGAAATACATTTAAACTTTTTGTTTAAGTAGCACATTTGTAGCATATTGACCATAATATCAAAAAGACTCGTCCCTTAACATTTATTTGGGGAGTTTGAAGTCACAGGTCATTGTTTATGACAATATGAGAAAGTTTATCCATGTTCTAGTCCAATGAGGGTGACAGGTAATGGAGCCTAGCAGAAAAGTCGGGGGAGCATAGAGAGACATAACAATGCAGACGCTCACACCTCAGGACAATTTACAGTCCCCTCACAGTAAGACTACTTACTCTGGACTCTGAGAGGAAGCTGAATTACCCAGAGAGAACCCATACATGCAGAGAGAGCCTATAGATTGGGGTTCAAACCCATGACCGTCCTGCTGCAAGCAAAAAATGAGGAGTACAGAAAATGTGTACTTTATCATATTTTTACTCAAGTGAAGCTGGTGAACCAAAGCTAGCATGTAACCAGGGCACCCTGCCTGTAGCTTAAAGTAAGAGCATGGTGCCGCTTTCATATCTATTCATGCAGTAACCATAGTATTTTAGAGTGTTATTTTAAACTTTGCTCTATTTTGATCTTGTGCTCTTTGTGTAATAGATGTGAAGAACTGTTCAATAACTTTTAAATAGTATAATAATATAATTATTTCCTTGTGGTTTGCGTAAAAGAATTTTGGAGGTAATAGAATCACCTGAAACACAGTGACTCAAGTTCATACCAGCTGACCAAATTTACCTTTCTATGGTGTTATTGTGAAGTTTAAGTAATAGCACATATATTCACCTGATGATGATGATGTCTGTGTGTTACAGACCCTGGTTGCGTGCACTAAAGGGTATATGACAATAGTATACACAAGTAGTGAATTTCAATCTATTTATTAATTCTTATTTATTTTATTTTAAATTGGCCTATCTATTTAAAGTAGGTCTTTGTCCCACAAAATACATAAATAAATATTTTCACAGCATGCCCTGTTCAAAATGACTTCCAGGGGACCTGCCTCTTATTGAAGGAAGTTACTCATGACAGGTAGAGTAGCCAGAAATTTAACCATGGGAGAGAAATGATACCTTATTAGTATTTTTACTCAAGTAAAAACAACAGAACAACACCGAAATATTTAATTATAACAAATATTTTCCTAAATTACTCAATCAAATATCTAGCAAGGCCGCTGAAGAACTGGCCCTGCTGAGAAAGGGAGAGGAGATAAGAATTAAGGGGAGAGAGACAGAGATAGAGAGAGAAAACAGGGGAAATATATGGTGGCCCTGAAGTGCAAACTGCAACTTTGCTTTATGTAGTTTTGTTTTTCTTAATGTAGTTGCACTTTGCTTTATGTAGTTTTGTTTTTCTTAATGTAGTTGCACTTTGCTTTATGTAGTTTTTTTTTTTTTTTATGTAGGCTAGTTGCACTTTGCTTTATGTAGTTGCGATTTCCTTAATGTAGTTGCGCTTTTAGATTTGTAGTTGCAGTTTGCACTTCAGGGCCACCATAGAATTAGGGTAAAATAAAGAAAAAGAAGGGGGGGAAAAAAACAGAAAATTGCCTTCTAGAAGGCTGCTTCCATGTTAGTTAATTTTGTTTGGCCCACCCTGGCCCCGTGGTAAGTTTCGTACAGAACCGCCCCTGCTAGAAAAAAGGGGGGGAAAAAACAGAGAGATTTCAGAAGTTTTGTATTCAAATTCAAATTACATGACCATTTTTGTTTACTATTTACAAAAATAACCAACATGGCCAACATGTTTCCTCTGCTCTCCTCCACCTGCAGGCAGAGGTGGAGGGTTAAAGCTGTTGCTGTTTCCACCAGCAGCTGATCGGGCACCACGTGACCACCCCTTCATAAATACACAGACGCTCCGCGTCTCGTGGCCACTGCTTCTTCAGGTTTACCCACGCGCGGTCCAGCCTCGCGCCCACGCTGTGAGACGGAGCAGTTCAAAGCTTCCCTCCTGTCTGTCCCTAAATAACTGTCCGCTCTGCTGCTGCTGGACGGAGATGACAGAGCAGCTGTAGCTCCACAGTCTGCAGACCATTTACAGACCACCCAGCAGAGACCATGAAGACCATCCTGGCTGCCTACTCTGGAGTCCTTAAAGGTGAGACTTCAGCTGGCTTTGGATTTTAATGCAAAAGTCAAACACAAGGAGGTGATCATCAGTTTTAAGGATCATAATCAAAGGCTGCTGGTGGATTAGGATGAAATTAAACTATATAATATAATTTAAATTTAGGATGATGACATATATGTGGAATAATAATCAGAGTTTCTGTCAGTGGTACACTGAAAAAAATAATGCAACCTTTTTTTGGCATTTATTTAATCATATTGAGTTACTTTAACACAACCTTTTTATGTTAGCAGGGTAGGACTGGAAAAACAACTGTGTTAAAGTAACTAAATATGATTAAATAAATGCCAAACAAGGTTGCATTATTTATCTGATGTGCATTGTTTTTATTTTTGAAAATTTTTAGATTAAAAAACTACTTATAAATATGAAAAAAAAGTAAAAGGTGTCCCTCATTTTATGAGTTATTAGTTTTCTGTTGCCCTAAATGTCTATTTTCAGATGAAAGTGTTTTTTGTTTTAAATTTTACTTTTATTTTAATCCAATCAAGACCTCTGCATCCTGCTTTTCTTTTTCTGTCAGTCTTTTGTTGCATTAGTCCGTGAATTAACAGTGTTTCATGGCATCTTAAGTACTTTTAGTAGATACTCTGTTTTGTTGTTTTTCTTCGTGTTCTTTTGTTTTCTGTTAGTACCTATAAATCAGTGTTGTTATTATTAGAACAATTGGGGGGTTAAGCTTTAGTTTGGACGCCATCACTTTATTTTTTTTGCAACCTAAAATCCTTCCCAAATGCCAAACTTGTCCTTTTTGTTACCAGAGGCTAAAGTCTACAATCCTTTGTTTAACCAGCTAATTGCCAGTGTGCAGCAACAGGTGGGGGAGGAAACCTTGTGGTTTGAGACACTTTCTCTTTCTATTGAAACTTGGGAACATTGTGACTACATTTTAGTTGTTTTGAAACATTAATTTTAATCAAACATGTGTATTTTATATTGCTGCTTATGGAGTGAATTTTGTTCTATTATTGTTTATAGCACAGAACATGTTTTGTAAATCAGAATCAGACATGCTTTAATAATCCCAGAGGGAATTATAGAAAATGAAGGTTTTAGCCTAAATTACAGTAAATGAAAATCTGAAAAAAATTTGCAAGCCAGAAACTTTTTAAAGCATTTTAATAAAAGGTTTTAAAAAGTAACCTGCTGTTTTCACACATTTCTTTTTTTATTCCAAATGTTTTATTGTATTTGCTAAATGCTATTTGTTTTTTTTATAATTTCTTTTTCAGATTAAGTTTTCCAAATTGCTTTCTTCTTGCATTCTTTCCACTGGACTAAAAGGTTTTCTATTGGTTGGGTTTTATGGGCTTGTACTGGGCTTGAAGTGAAGAGAATCTGATATGTGAAACACAATTTAAAGAGAATGCAGCTGGTAAAATTATATCTGAAAAAGACAAATGTGTCAAAATGAAACATGAAAATGTAAAATGTGTAAAAGAAAAAATGAAGTTTGAAAAATATATATTAAAAAAATACACATTTTATTTTTGAAAAGGTGAAATATTTTTGTAGAAGATTTGTATTAAAGTTTAATTTCTAGTTTGCTCTTTTTCTTCTCAAATTTCTATTAACAGAGCAGGTTTTTCTTTTGCTACGATAATGGAACAATCTGTACTCCATAGATACCTGTAGCCAGCATATAGTCTCCACCCTCCTCCTAAATGTTTCCTATATGTCTTTAGTTAAACGGTTAAACTAAAACATCATTAGTTCAGCTGTTTTATTTTCTTTAGTCCAACTGTTTTTAATGTCCTTTTTTTGGTTTCTGCATTTTTTTTATTTTATGTTAATTTTTGCTACTTTGTTTGATTCTATGGTATTTTCCTATATTTAATCACGTAAAGCACTTTTCATTGTCTTAGTACTGAATTGTGCTAGGCAAAAAAATTGCCTTGCCTTGCCTATATAGAACCCAATGTGTTTGAGTTTAAATGCATAATTTCCGTATTGAAAGTGAGCACGGTTGTTATTTTGTGCACACTGCGATATCCTGCACATGCTCTGATTATTTAAAGGAACCATCTTTGAGGCAATTAATTTCTCAACAGCTCTTATGGAAAACAAGTTTTGTCTTTTAATTTATACTAAGAATAAAATGATACAGTTGAGGTGCTGATAAATCTATGTTTTTATTTGGTTCTTTAAAAAATGGCACTGGCAAACAAAAAAGAAATCTCCAAACTATATTTGTCACCTTCTTTAGGTTGTGTTTGCAGCATGTGAGACCCATGGCAGGATGCTCATCCATACCAGAGTACCCTGTAGTTCCAGCATTTTTCTCCTCCAGATCTCTATTTAGCAAAGCTTAGCTTCCACTTACTCAGGTCTTGCCAGTACCAATGTTCTTTCAACGCAGCAGGAGCCTTAAGTAGCTGCAGCATCCTAGTTTACAGGCATTACCACCAATGGTAGGTTATTTTCAGTGTGGGATTAGATGGCAGCGTTTTCCTGGAGTTAGCTCTTCTCCTTGTTGGCTCTCAGGTTAAAAAGCTTTAGTAGTTGTTAATTTGAACCACTTTGCCCTCAGTGCTCACGTGTACATTAACAGCATGGAGCAACCAGTAGCTGCAGTCCTTTCAAATAAAACCATCAAACACAGTTTTTGAGAAATCATTAAAGCTTTGTTTGCTTTTTGACCTATTTGGAAACAGCTGATTTATTTTTCCTCAGGAGAAGAAGTGAAAAAAATTTCAGGAAAAAAAAAAGTTTTCATGTCTTGTTTGCAGGCACGGGCTCCAGCATCCTGTCCTCCCTGCAGGACGTGCCGTCAGCGCTGTGGCCCTGCAGCTCCAAGATGGAAAAGCATCTGCAGGTCATCTCTGTGCTGCAGTGGGTCGTCTCCTTCTTAGCCATGGGTGAGGGCCAAACCAGAAACATTTGTCTAAAGCTTGGTGTACATTTTAACATGATCTAAGGTTCCATTTCTCCTCTCTGTGTCTAGGTATTGCCTGCACCCTGCTGTTGATCTATATGTTCTGCACAGATTGCTGGTTAATTGCTGCCCTTTACACCGCCTGGTTAATTGTTGACTGGAACACCCCGAAACAAGGTGAAAACCTGTAAATACATGACTTCCAAAAAAAGAAAATTAAAAACAATCCAAGCTTTTTTAACTCAAAAGTTTCAGTTCAAAAACTTTATCCACGCAAAACGGTTCAAAAGCTTCTTGGATGGGAAGCGGAACGTCTTCATACTTGGAAACAGAGTCCAGTGGATTGTTTTTAATTTTAATTTTTTTGGAATGACTTTGACCTGGATGACTGAGAATCTTCACCAGCGTAAATACGTGATATGGTGGTGCTGAAAGCTGCTGGGTCTGAGTGTCCATGAGTGCGTGCACAGACATAGCTGGCTTGTCATCATGGCGTCATATAAAAAAGTACAGCTTTACCACAGCATTGGGTAAGCTCTTTTGTAACGATGAGCACAAACAAGGAATGCATTATGCCTCGACTGGTTCCTCATCAAATCATCAGGATATGGCAAATTTCCAACCGCATCGGTGGGCTTCTTACTAAAAGCACAACTTAACTGACTTGGATTAGATCCTGTCTGCCAATAGATTTTCCCAGCTGTATGAAAAAGGGACTGAGTGATTTAGGTCAATATAAATCCAGCCATTGACTTTCGTTATGTGGGCATAAAGGCCTGAATCTTGGACTCTTCTTGAGATATTTACAAAAAGGTCAGTAAAACGTTGAAGCACTGGTTCCATCCGATTAGAAATCTACCAAAAAATAACATTTTCATTTCTCAAGGACAAGAAAATAAAGTTTTCCTTGCAACTATTGAAGGAGGTTTGTTACTTTTTTCATTCAATTCTCATTTTGTTCACTGTTTGTTTCAGAAACATTCAGTTGGCTCAAGTGAGAGAAAAGTATCATTTAGCTTCAGGGTTGTTTTCCTTTTTTTTTTCTTGATAGCCTCGGTTATCAGTGTTCTGTTCTGTGTTTCTTATTCCTAAGTTCTGTTAGATTCCCATTAATTTAATAATAATTTTCTTTGTCTGGATGATGAAGGGGGGAATCAGTAAAAACTCCTAAAGGGAATAAATATTTGGTCGTTTTTCTATTAACTCCAAAATTGCTGCTTGTGATAATTAGATAATTAGAATTAGAAGTTCATGATTACTTCCAAAATTATATATCCTTCTTACATTTTTCCCATGAAAGTCGCCGTTTTTTTCTGAAGCGCAATGAATGCTGGGTGGATGACCTGTTTAGCTCTGAATGGACCTGAACCTATAAAGCAGAGGTCACAGATTAGTGGACCACGGTCCGGATCCGGACCCCCTGCTGGCTAATCCGGACCTAACCTTATTTAAAACATTTATAAACAACTGCATGTAAATTAACTTGCCCCACTTCTCCTGTTAATACGGTAAAGCCCTCCATAGCGTTCGGCATCAGGCTACATGTGATACACATTAGCCAATGAGCTGCTGTCAGTCTGGGTTGCTGCTGCTGCTACTTTTAGACACAGCAGGCAAACCTGTGGCAAGCCGGGCAATGGGAAAGAAGGAGAAGATGATGAGAAAAAGAGAGCAGAGAAAGTGTGGACTGCTGGAAGAACTGTGGTGAACTGGTGAAAGAAAAGTGAAATGGTGCTCAAAGATGACCCTGCACATTTAGAGTATGTTTGACTCAACCTGCTGCTGTGAAGCAGGATTCTCCACCATGAACAGAATCAAAAATAAATCTGGATCCAGGCTCAAAATGAGCTCCTTGATATGTGCTTTGGAGTGACTTTGTCTCCATTAAACCCAGGTTTAAAGCCTTGCAGGGCAGCATGAAGCCCACTGCCAACATTAAGACAGAAAAAAGAAAGAAAACAACAGTTATTATATTCAGTTCAGGTGTTTTATGAAATATGTGAATCAGGAAATTGTCTTTATACCAAACTGAATTATTGTTGTTCTCTACTTCAAAAAAACATTTTAGTTTTAAAAATGGAGAAATGTTCTTTTTTTTATGTTATTTATATTCTTTTATTTAAAAAGTCAATTTATAACATGGATGCATAAACGCTTCATTTTATTCAGTGTTAAATTCTGTTTAAAATAACAGATTATGATTAAAAAAAGTCTCCTTACCTTTACTGGCGTGAAGGAAGCCATCTATATTAAGAAAGAAAAAGCAACCTTGAACAGAGGGGGTGGACTCAGATTTCAGCTTTAAAAAACCTACAATTCAGGAATTGAGTTAATCCCTTACTGCTGTCATCGCTGCCCCACCGCCTGTACAGGAGAGCAGAGGACCTTGCCTGTTCAGCGAGGCCAACAATTCCCTTTAACAACCCCCCTTTCAGAGACATAGACAGGTATGGGGCATTGCAGGCTAACAAAAGAAGTCAAAGGACCCCCATTCCAAAGGATTGGACCCGTTCGTCCTTTTCAATTTGCATGTTTCCTAAACAAAAACAAGGCTTTGTTGGGCTGCTGTATAAAACCTCAAAATTTCTGACATTTTGAATTGAAAAAGCTTCCTTGATGGGAAGCAAAACATCTTCAATCTTGGAAACAAAGTCCAGTGGATTTTTTATAACTTTGTTATGTAATAAAGGACCTAGCATACATCATTTACCCAGAATGCATACAGCGTAAACATGGTTATGTCTGTTTGACAATATTTTATTTGAATTCTTTAAAACGAAACAGCTTCTATTACTTTTACTGTGCAATTTTGCATCTAAAATATTTATCAAAGTCTATGTTATAACTAATATCTGATCCCTTGTAAATATGGCAATGTGAAACTTGTGGAAAACTAGATTTAAAAGAGATTTCTATTAAATACATAATTTATTAGAAATGTATGTAATTTCTTCATTTAAAACTTGAAAAATCTCCTTAGAAATTCTCAGGCATTTATTCAAACAAATTGTTTAATACTAACGACAAACAACCGTTGGTTTGATTTAAGGTGGGGCAGTTGGTTAAAGCTGAAGAACCCATTATGGCTAAAAATATTGTACATATGTGCACTGGATTGTTCTTGAAACACATCATTTATTCTAGTCCTCATTTAAAAAATATATATTGATGTCTTGTTTTTGTTTTTTCCTCAGGTGGTAGGAGGTCTTCATGGGTGAGAAACTGGACAGTATGGACATATTTCCGAGACTATTTCCCCATCCGGGTAATTATGTCAACTTTCTGCTCGATTGTGCTAATTCAAGAAACTTTAAAACTCAGGAAATCAAAATAAATCCTGAAACCTATTTAATCTGACACTGTGGAGCCTGTGCTGTATGACTTCAGCAGCTGTTTGCATGTCTACCATCTTCCTGTAGATAAGGCTTATCAGGGCTAGATGGTGTATCAGTTTTCTGCTCCAATGGTGTTCCTTGTCCCGTGTTAATGATGGAGGGTGTACGTTGGTCTGGAGTTTAAACCTTTGTTCTGCCTGATAGTCCGAAGGTATCTGGGTAATCCTTGCTGTGACTGGAGCAGTGTGCAATCACAAACTGGCACAAAAACACGCTGGCTCCATGCAGAGGGTGGTACAGTAGCTGTCTCTGGATGGCCCAAAGGTCAAGGCTGGATCCTGTTTAAACACAGGATATCGCCTTCTGATTGTTACAGTCAGCTGTCTGAGCATGTTTCTGGATTCAACGGATAATTAGGTCACCCAAAAAAATAAAAGCTACTTGAAGTGTTGTAAGAGGGAAGAAGAAAACCCATTTTGTGAGGATGGAAATCTGATTTTTAGAAACATTTTTGTTGTGATTGGCTTTTCCTGAAACAATTTTGTACTGATATACTAAAACCTGAGATAAGGAATGATAAAGAGTACATTTAGATTGCTTAAAAAAATGTAAATTTCCCAAACTTTTATTCAATCTTTAGTTTTGCTTTAGGTCTCTCATCTGGAATCATTTATTTTCTTATGCATACTTTTAATTGGATGACTAATAAACTAAATCCCACCTGATCAGAACCAGCAAACGTTATTTGAGCTTAACCAGAAGAGTATATTACTATTCATTACTGATGGTAGTGGTCATTTTTAAAAAAATAGTTGAAGTTCAGATATTGTTCTAGAAAATATTTTACAGGGGAGACTTTAAAGGTAAATGGTCATATTATATGGCTTAGCAAAAACACTAGAATTCAGTTACTTGTGATAGAATAAGGCTATATACTCCAAAAGTCCGTCACAATAGAGTTTTGATGGTCCTTTTTTGAGCCTAAATAGAACCCCAGCACCGGGGGACATGAGCAGGTGTAATCAGACGTGGTGCCATCTACTGGCAGAACCACTGAACTACCAGAAAGCCAGCTGGTCGCCAATAATGTAGCTACCAAGGAAGCTCTATCCATTGTAACCGTGCTGTAATGCCTCTTGGAAAACCCTCAACTTGGAGGATGGGGCTTAAAAGCATTGCTAACACCATTAGCATTGTTAGCAAGAACATGTATTTGCATGTCTACTGATTTCACAGCAGCATCGGAATACTTCCTGAGCTTTAGCTCCAGCTTTAATGTCTATCAAACATAGTATGGTTAACCCAATGCAGCTAAGATTTTATCCCTCTTTGAATGAAAATATATATGTGTATGTATATGTGTGCATGTACGCATGCACAGTGATGTAATCATGGTCACATAATGTTATGGTAAACGTTTGTTCTCATGGAGAGTTATCTCTTAGGGTGCATTCACACCAAACATTGTGTCTGCAGCAAGAGCAGTGGATCTGCAGTAGTGTTGCGCCGATGCCATTTTTTGGCCCCGATACCTGGCTGTGCAGTATTGGCCGATACCATAATAATGTAAACTAAATGCCATCATGGCTTTGTCAAGCTGCTGCTTACCTTTTATGAAGCAGGAAAAAATCTAATACAAAGTGAATCCTGTAGAACTTTTTAAGTTTTACAGGATAATAAAAATAAAAAGTTTTTGTTGCCTACCAGGAGTGGGTGACAATAGTTGAATAAACTTATGGCTCTCAAAATGGTATCTGTGCCCTATTTGTTGGTACAAGCCGATTCCGATACCACCATTTTAGGGCAGTATCGGGGCCCCGTCCGATACTGGTATCGGTGCAACACTAATCTGCAGGCAGCCACTGTTCTGATATCACTGTGAGGAGGCATCGGAGCAGGGACCGCTGAAGCGGAAATATCTGATGTTACCCTCTTTTTCTTTTAAAAAATTATCAAAAGGATGCGACTTTTGCCTTTTGTGGATGGAAAAATGGCTGCTTGTTCCTCCCGAGTTGCTTTGGAAAGAGTTTGATTTATCAGTCGGCTGATAAATCAAACTGATAAATCGGTGATTGGTTAAAAACTCGACAAGGGAGGCAGGTACCTAATCAGCTTGAAGAATTCTATTTAATGTCCCTCCCTTTTAAAAAAGCATCTGAAAAGAGGCTTCCTAGATTGATATTGTGTAGAATTCAAATTAAACTACAAGTTCAACTTAAGTTGGGTTTATTTCTAGTCTTTGACTAGGCCTTTTGGGAGGTTAACTTTCACCCCAGAACTCTATGAAACTCCACCTGTATGCCCATCAGTACTTGGCGCCTTTCTTGACAATCATCACGGCCTGATACTGCCACCACCGTGCTTCACCAATGCTGTATCCAGCATTAACAAACTCTGTTACTTTGCTTTAAAGCATAATGTTTTTCATGCCAGCCAAAAAGCCAAAGCCTAATGTTTATATTGATTATGAAGGTATCTTGGTTTTATTTATGGGCATATACGCGATTACAAATGCATGGCAGACTTTTTTTAAGGTATTTATTTGTGAAAGGTTTTCCTGCTCACTACTTTACAGGGTGTTGACACAATCAGCATAAATGCCAGGCAGAAGCAATTGTAAATGCATAGCAATCAGCAGGTTTAAAAAAAACAAAACCAGAGAACTCAGATAATTCGGTGCATCCATTTAAAAACAAAAACCTTGTTTTCTGTTCCACCAAACTGAGGTAGCTGGACTTTGTTAATCAAATTGATCTGTGGTGTTTGTACTGTTGAACTGCTTGTCTTTGTCTGTTTGAGATCCAGCTGCCATGCCTCCTGTTTGTCTTTCGTTACAAATATCAATAGCACTGTAAATCCTGCATGAGTCAACACAGAGCTGGAACGTGTACTTAGGTCCTTAGGAAGGAGGACTTAAGTTGACCTTTCATGCCTCTATAGATATAAAAAGAGAGAAAAACAGGCATGTACCGAGGAAGAGATTATTATTTATGAGCTGGAAGCTAACTGTTCAAAGTCTGACCATATGTTTGTGTGGAAGTGAACACCACAATAAATCTGGATTTGGATTGATTGTCAGATAAACAGCCTTATGCATTCTGATGTAAACCTAAAAAAACAAAGGTACTTCTGGGTAAGTGCAACCCGTTTGCTTCGGCCACTAGGTCTGTTCTCCGACTGTCCGGCATATATCCGCTGCCAGACGGAGGACTGAGCTACTATGGCAATCTTAAAGGGATCGCATTTTCCTAATGGGATTATGCAACCCCAGCTTTGACTTGCTGCTATGGAAGCCTTGTGTGCAGGTCAGGAGAGCTGTTTGTGAGTCGGGTTTGCACCTTTTTTTTTTTTTTTTTTTTTTTTTGTGTAAATTTGCAAATAAAGAAATCAAGATCTTGAAATGGCGCAGAGCGTTATAAGTCCAACCCGGCCAGACTGAGCAGGTGGGAACCATGCGCGCTGGGTCAGTAGTTTTATGATTGTGTTTAAAGCGCCATTGGATTTGAGCTGATAAGGATGTCCCAGTCTTACTAAAACATTGGAGTCGTTCCCAGATCCTCTGTAAAAACAATAACTCATCAATCAATATCTTTATCGATTAGTGCCTCCCAGCACACAGAAAACTCCTGAAATGGGAGAATCACTGAAGCCTGATCGGTTAACATAGGATTACTTAGTAAGATGTTATTATTTAGTATGTTTGTGCTTCCCTCTTCATGTCTTTCAGCTCATCAAAACCCATGATCTGCTTCCCAGCCGGAACTACATACTGGGCTACCATCCCCACGGTATCTTCTGCTTTGGGGCTTTCTGCAACTTTGGTACAGAGGCTACGGGATTCTCTAAGAAATTCCCGGGGATCAAACCCTCCCTGGCAACCCTGGCAGGAAACTTCCGCCTGCCCGTCCTTCGGGACTACCTGATGTCTGGAGGTGAGAAGTTCTGTCTGCTGCTGGAGGGGTGTTTGACTTCTTGGAATGTTTGATGATGTTGATAACTGTGTTTGTCAGAAAGCTGACCCTTGTCCTGTTGTTCAGCTTCAACAGCTCCTGTTTACTTCGATCTGCTGATTTGACTCATTTCTAGAGCTTCAACTGCTGAGGGGCTCTTTGTTCTTTTGACTTCATCTTTTCTCAGCGATACCTTCTAGACACTTTGTACACGTTTGTTCTCATGGAGAGTTATCTCTTAGGGTGCATTCACACCGAACATGGTGTCTGCAGCAAGAGCGGTGGATCTGCGTAGTATCCCTCTGCAGGCAGCCACTGTTCTGATGTCACTGCGAGGAGGGATCGGAGCAGTGACCGCTGAAGCTGAAACATCTGAACCTTTATGTGAAGTTGCATTGTGGCAACAAATCAGGGACTGTTTGTGGTTGTGAAGAGGTTGAATGAGTGCAGCCGAGACAAAGCTGTATTTAATTTTTTTGTGAAAAGATGATAAAATAATGCTGACAAAGGATGAAACAAAGAATGCTCTTTCAAGGTTTTTAGGTGGCTTTTTAAAGAAGCTGTTTTAATTTAGCCCTACACTGAAAATGCGATCTAGAAGTAACTCAACATTTCTTAGATTACGTGTATTTAGCCTTAATTTGAGCAGGTAAATAAGATACTCTGCCAATAGACTATTTTTACTCTTAAAATAAGATAATTAGATAATATGGACTGAAAATAAGACAATACAATTATTTTTGTTTCCTATTATAAATGCGAATTGTCTTGTTCCACTGGCAAAGTTCCTCACTTACCTCCTCAATTCAAGAAAAAAATCTTTTATTTTTAAGAAAATATGACATATCTAGTTTTTGATTTTTTTTCTAGTGTAGAAGGAATGTTGGTCATCCTCCTTTACCTCCCGTCCTTTATAGTCGCTGCCCCTCCCCAGCACTGCTGCTCTCTGCCCTGCTAGATACAAGGAAGCACCGCAGAATCCAACCATCATTCAGATGCAGCAATTGGGAGTCTAAGTGGCGCCTACCATCCATCTCTAGGTTATTGAGGGGACCTGTAGAGTTGAAATGGAAGATCAAGCTTCCCTCTTTCGCACGACTCACTGAGTGCTCGTGGAAATTACCACGGACACTGCGTTCCATCTGAACGCACCCTTAAGGGCAGATTAGACTTCTGCAGCCACACACATCAGATGTCTCTTGGGTCTGGTCACGAACCAGTTTTGCTGGCATGTTTCTGCACCATCGGTTTGGAATTTCTAGGCACGCACAGCAGTTTCAAAAGCACAACGGGGAGCCTATTTGAGAACTCACGAGAACTTCAGCGTATGGTCACAAGCACTTCGGCAGCGCCAGCGGGAGCGTTTTATCTTCCAAAAAAACAATGCCGTGTCTGCAAGATATCACTGTCATCTTATTATAGTTCGTCTGAGGCATCGTACAAGCGGTTGTACTTCCGAACCTCCTGGATTTACCTTTCGTCTTAGTTGTCCATTGTAGTTGTTCCTCGGTTTTTAAAAATAGCATGCCCCCAGCACCGAATCGAGAAGGACAACCACACAGACAGCCGGAAAGGCATACCATGGAACAATCACAGCTGCTTTTTGTCTGTGCACTTCTGCTTAAGGTCTACGCGGGATTACAACCATCCGACGCGTAGCCAGAATTTTTTTGTTTTTGCACAACAACGGTTGCGGAACCTCTCCACGCGGGGCGTGGTCGTGCACAGAGACAGTTTTGACGGTTGCAGAGGCTATGCCTCAGAAGCATAAATTGGCCTTTAGGGTTATTTCTGCTGCTTAAAAAGCAACTAATCTGACGGTGCTTTTTTGCTTTTCCACATATCTGTGAAAATATAAATACACCTTAGTTTACATTTTAGAACATAATCAAAAGGACCTGATCTAGAGGTAGAGCGCTACTTTAACACTGATCAGTGAGTGAAACGCCCTCTGATTTATTAGTGTATTCAACAGCCACGCCTTTAGATCACAAGAGGTGCATGCATTGCTGCTTTTACATCTGCTATTTATTGATGTTTGATTATTAACTTATTTCTTTACATTGAAACTTGTGCAACTTTTATTATCATGAATGAAGTAGGGCTGCAACTAAGATAATTGTGTAAATTGCAAAAAATATTGACAGTTTGATCAGACTAATTGGCAAAATGCTCCTTAGAGAAGAATTTATGCAGAATTGAAACTAAAAGTAAGCCTCTTAAGGAGTTCTGAATGGAGCAAATTTACCAACCATTCAGGATTTTTGCCCTAAATGCAAAATATTTATACAACCTTTACTGTTTTGTTACAAATATGTGCATCATTTTAACCAAAATAACAGCGACTGCCTTGTTTCTGTATCTTGCTCCCTGTTGCAGGTATCTGCCCAGTGAACAGGCACTCCATCGACTACCTGCTGTCCTGCAACGGGACGGGAAACGCTGTAGTGATTGTAGTCGGAGGAGCAGCGGAGTCTCTGCACTGTGCACCGGGCATAAATTCTGTCACCCTAAAGAACCGCAAAGGCTTTGTAAGGCTGGCCCTGCAGAAAGGGTGAGTACCCGCTTAAACGCTGCAACATAAACACACACTTCAAGGTCTCAAAATACAACCTAAGCCAAATCTGCTATGAAAACTTCTCTGCTGTTGTGAACCTCAGGAATGAACAAACCCTACATGATTAACCTTTGAAAGGTCAGAAAAGCCCAGAGCAAGGCGTCAGTAAATCTGTTATGAATGTGTCGTGTTGAGCGCCTCGTGGCATGGCCTACCGCTGCTGAAAGGTCAGACTGCGTGAACCCGTCCTGACCTGCACTCAGCAGTACTTTAAACCCCGTTATTAACTCCACCGATAAGTCATCTTGGTATGTTTCTCTAACCTAAACCTATCACTCTGTGCACCTTATGTGCAGTGATGAAGACCCTTCATTCATAACAACTAGCTTAGTGTTTTAATTTGTGAAGTTCAGGGCGCTTTGGATGCACTTTCCAGAAGTGGTTCATTTCTTATAAAATAGGCATGATGTTCCAGCCAGTTGAATAGCTTTCCTTTTTCAAAGGTGGAAACTAGCCTTGAGGATGATTTTCGTGTAAAACCCCAAATCCTGAAAGTGTTGCCTCAGACAATTTGAGAAGGTAATTAAATGAAGCGTCCCTAAAGTTCTCCTACTGACATCAATCATAAAGTTTCCCATTTCTACAATCCCCTTGCGTAATTGTTATGCATCGCCAGAACAAAACCCCATGTGTTTCTCCAGAGCGGCGCTGAAAATGGGCTGCTAATGCCAGCAGGGCGAACTAAACAGACTCCAGGTTAACAAAAAATCAGATTAAATAATACTACTTATACTTCAGCGATAGTATCAGGGTGCTACTTCATTGTATCTGCTATACTATATCCGCTGGTTGTGCTGTTCTCTCTGCTTCATCACCTGCAAAGAAAGATGTAAAAAGAAAACTTTTTATCATCATCTCCCTTTTATCTCCTCTTATTTTCATCTTTTCTCATTTTTTTCTGTTTTTCCTTTCCTGTTCTACTAACATTGCAGTGTCCTTATAATCTGTAATACTCCCTGCATGAATTATAATAAAGCAATGTATATGCATAAATCAAGCAGAACACTATGGCCATAGTCATACTGCTCCACTTGTGAAAGCAAAATCTGTTAGCCTCACTTTTTGGCATCAAGACAATTATTGTTATTGCCACATCGCCAGACTGGACACTGGTTTAAAAAAAAACTAAACAAGAAAACACCTGAAGCCAGCTTCTGTTGGACGTTTCTTTTAGCTGTGGTTTCCAAATGAAAGCATCCCACTTGGTTAAGCAGACATATTTTATTTTACACGTTTCCTCTGAACCATGGGCGGTTCTAGACGGGGGGCCAATGGGGGCCAGTGCCCCTGTAGATCATGTCGTGGCCCCTGTTATAGCCACTATACTGCAGAAATGATACTCAAACAAGTTCTGATGATGATACGCGCTGGAACAGACATGGTTTACTGATAGGTCCTTTGAATCTATTTCTTTTTTTTTTCTTTACAAATTCAGTTTTACTGATTATTTAAAAACAAAAAGGTGTTAGCTTCAGTGGTATTGAGATAGGATCCCAGTTTTCATCTGCTAAATGTTTTTTTTTTAACTAATTAAAAAAAAACTCTAATTTTTACATTTTTGTTAAATTTTGAAATAATTTTTAACACTGAATTTATCAGTTTTTCTTGACTTCTAATTCTGAATTTATAGAAAACTGTAATTTTAACTTAAGTTATAAAAATGTAAAATTCCTAAATTATAAATGTATATTGACCTAATATTCCAAATAATAACTTTATTCGATCTTTTAGATATTTATATGAATACTTTTTTTGAGTTGCTGTTTTGCTCTGCTAAGGGGTTTTTATTTTTATTTTGCGGATAACTCAAATGAACATTTTCAAGCCAAAAATAAATATTTTCAGTTGGAATTTGAATGAAACCTAATTCAATGGAAATTTCATGTCATGCAGCTCTCTTAAAATATTTAAATCCTTTGCCCATTTTTTTGCTTCATGCTTTTTTGTGCCCCCATTAAAAAAAACATGCTGGCCTCCCCTGGAAAATTAGGTCTAGAACCTCCACTGCTCTGAACCCTCAATCGTAATGATCTCTTCTCTCCCAGGCCATTTTCTGATATCATGACTATATAACAATAAACGCATAAATACTTGGGATGTTGACTGTTAAGCCTGGTAGATAACAGAAGTTTGGTTTCTTAAAGGAATTTTTAGGTCAACCTTAATGAGGCTGAATGTGTCCGTTTCCCCGCTTTTTTTTGTAGTTTCTATACTTTGTGTTCTTGAATGTAAACTTTAGCTGAATGACTTCCTCTGTGATGGTTCAGGTCCGACCTGGTTCCAGTGTATTCTTTCGGAGAGAATGACGCCTACAGGCAGGTGATCTTTGAGGAGGGGACCTGCTGGAGAGCCCTGCAGAAACGTTTGCAGAAGATCTTGGGTTTTGCCCCTTGCCTTTTCTACGGCAGCGCCTGGGGAATCGTGCCTTTTGGAAATCCTATCACAACCATAGGCAAGTGTCTGCATTCGTTGTTATGCATCTACAAGAGTGAAAACAACAAAAATGCACCCTAAGGTCCCTAAAGTATTCATACCCTCTTGGGCCTTTTAGATTCTAAATGATGGGAATAAAATGATTTATGACTCATAACTAGTTTAAAAGTTTTTTTTTCAAAGTACATCTTTAAAAGCTACAAAAAATTTAAATCTTAAGTAATTTATTTTCTTAAAATAAGTGGATTTTTTCTTGGATTGAGGAGGTAAGTGAGACACTTTGCCAATGGAACAAGACCATTTATATTTAAAATGAGAAAAAACAATTTCATTGCCTGTTTTCAAGTGCATTTTATCTAATTATCTTATTTTAAGAGTAAAAATACTCATTCCATTGGCAGATCCTCTTATTTACCTACTCAAATTAAGGGTAAATACACTTAATTTAAGAAATCTTTACTTATTTCTAGATTATTTTTGCAGTGTAGTGGTTAAAGGTCGCTACATTGTTCGCAGCAGGAGAGAAATTAATTTATATTCTAGAAGCTATGAGATGATATGATTTCATCTGATGCTTGCTCTTCAAGACATCCATCAGTCTATGTGATTGTGGAAGGTGTCTGAGGCTTGCACTAGGTCTCAGCTGTAGTGACAAATTCTCAAACCCGAGCTGTGGACCTCTGCAGCTCCTCCAAAGTAACGATCAGCCGTTTTGCTGCTTCTCGGTTTATTTATCTCTGGCAATAAACTGTTGCTCTATGCTCTTTGGGTGATCGATTAAAATTCTTTTACAATGCTTTTCTTTTTATTAAGGAGCCCTGAGCCTTTCTGAGAACAGCTTGAAGCTATCTGAACTTTGTTTAGTTTTTTTCAATAAAATAGCAGTAAAACACGGGGAAGTTTATGGCAAGTTTAAGAGGTAGGAACACGTTGGCAAAGCAGTATAAATTCTTTGTTTGGATGGTGCTTTAAATATAATTTAGTGGAGAATTCACTGATAATTAAAAGTTGAAAATGTTATAGAAATAAAGCTGTTATTCTGTCTCTATATAGATCCAGTCAGTTACTGTAGGATGTTAATACCAGGTCAACCTGTCCATGATGATCTTTACCTTTTAAACCGCCTCAATGTGACCTAGTGGCAGATGAGAGTTACCCTGAAATCACACATCCTCAATGTCCAGCCCGCTCCGCTCCAGACCGCCTGCACAAAGCAAAGCCTACAGCCTCTGCTGTTCCTCCCGTCCCAGTGGCGGCCGGCCCATAGGGGGCGCTGGGGCACCGCCCTCCCTGATAAGAAGAGAGAAACGTAAAATATATTTTTAGAAATTAACTCATAAATGTCAGTTTTACTCTCTAGACTGTGTACCTATAAGCAAAACAAATTATATAAACTACATTTCCCTATCTACTGTCATTAATTTGTGGATTTCCACAGACAGACTCCTACCGTCTCTGTTCTGGGGGCTGTGATCAGACTGACCCACATTTGCAGAGAATCTGTCAATCATGTACTATTGCTAGGTGAATTTAATGGCCAATCAGCGTCTCGGAACTTTATGGTCTTGGGGCGCTGAAAATACTGCGCTTTCACAGGCTTCTGAACCCAAGCGCAGGTGCAGACAATTAGAGGGAAGATGGCGAATGTAACGACCGAGATGCAGCTTCCACCAAATTCGGTGAGATCCTTATTTATCTACCCGTTTGCCAGAAGAACATCCCTGTTGTAGGATATGAACATTTCCTGTCATGGTTATTGTGACTGTGACGAATCCACCTCGTCGCTTAAAACAACCTCTCTAACTTTGCTCGCCACACACACATTCCTGTTATACTGTGTTTGTGAGGACCAATACACTCGCGCTGAGCCCAGTAGCTCCATGAACTTAAAACACACAAGCTGTTCCTGGTTACCTGCTGGCGTATTGAGGGTGCACACTTAATATTTCAGTGGGGTTAGCCGTGTGTGTGTGGGTATGTGGGGGGTGTGGGTGTGTACGTGTTTATGCTATGGGGACTTGTCATCTTCAGTCTGGCTGCGTCTTTGCTGGGTTCAAACCCAGTTTGGTGTAATTGAATAAGTCAATGAATCTGTGTAAAAGAATTAAGTTGTAAAAATTATTTGTTTTTGTACATCAATTGTTTGTGGAGGTAATATATGGACAAAACTGATTAATGAGAAGAAATCAGAAATAAGAGAGCCTGATGTGAGGGGCTTAAACTATTTAATGAGGGCTGTGGGAAGAAAAGCGGCAATTTTTGTTTTCTGTTTCTTTGTTACATTGCTGGTAACTGGAGGGAGGCTGAGGCCCAGAGTATCTTGTATATGTTTAGTTTCTTTTGCACCCTGTTTTGAGTTTTTGAGCACAATAAATCACCAACACCGGTAACCCGACTGAGCCTGGATTCTTGGAGGCCAAAGAACCCGTCACAGTGACCCAATTCATCACTGTTACTGTTATTATATAGTAAATTAAATCATTACTGTTAAATTGTATGTATTGTCCAATTGTTTATTTGAATTCTTATTCCGGATTAGTTGGAGACATACACTAGGCTATATCAGCCCCACCAAAAATATTTTTCACCAGCCGCCACTGTCCCGTCCTGCTCCGGTCCGACTTCCTCAGAGCTCGAGGAGAGCATGTGTGATATTATTTAATTTATAGGAGCAAAACGCGCGGAAAGGAACACTTAATTTAATGACGTATTAAAAAAAACAACAACATCAGCATCCAGCGTATATGCAGTTTCTACCCAAATATTTTCTTCTAGTTGTGTATTTTTGTAACTGGGATCACTAGGATCATGCATGGTAAATCTGGTAATAGGGTAACCTATTTAATTTGACAAACCGGATCTTCTCAATATTTTTTTTTCCTGTTTTATATGATATTTTATATTTTTATGTTTTTTTTTCTCTTTGATTAAAATGACAGACAAGCACTCCGCATGGCGTATGTGAGCGGAGTGGAGCGCCGACAGAGTATGTGGAATCTGGGGGTCAAAATAAGATGACCAGATTTCTGAACTCGTATCTGGAGACATTTCCAGCTCGTAGACAAAAAGAAATGCAAATCATAGGAATGGAATAGGAAACGGTTTCATCCATTTTTAGATATTTATATATATTTAAAAAAAAAAAAAGTAAAGTGTAAAATTTCAAGAATGTCCCTCTCCTATTTCTTAAGATTAATCAAATTAATCAATCGATAGAAGATAGAGGGAAGAAGTCTGAATGACTCGATGGCACTAATAAACACTATTTGTAGCTGACTTCTACCTGCTCTGTTTTACTCCAAGTAGATTTTTCCTCTGCTCTCATTCAATCTTCTTTCTATCAGTCTTATCTTCTTCCTCTTCTATCAATCTTAGACTAATCTAACACAGACATAATAAAATCTAAATCCCATAACGACGGATCTGTAACTGAAAAATCAGAGCATCATTTTTATATATTACCAAAAACTAAGACACTTTGTTTAAATTATTGGATGCAAACTATTGGAACTTCAACATGCCATGAAGCAGGGCGTGCTTTGGTGGCGCAGTGGTTAGCGCACACGACCCATGTATGGATGCCTAATACCCATACCCTCTTTCCTATCAGCCTACTGTCCATAAAATCAAGTCACTAGTGTCAGAAAAACAACAAAAAAATTGTACCATGAAGCAAATTTCTCATCTCCGTCAAAATATTCATTTTATACCAAGAGGCTTAAAAGTTTCTTTTAATCCCGTCACAGCTTCCAAGAGCGCATCTCCCAACTTCAAAACAAAATATCTCAGGCATGAATGAAGAGATGCTAAGTCTGGAAGTAAAGAACAAACCAATGTTGTATGATCCTAATTATCACTATTACAATGGTTACAATGAAAAGAAATGTCTGGGCAGAAACGTGTGATGGATGCTTATGGTGATTTTTAATTATGTCATTAAGTGTTAATTTCCGCATGTTTTGCTCCTATGATATAATAATAATAATAAAGTAGCGCATCCTCTCCTTGAGCTCCTAGGAAGTTGGAGCGGAGCCAGAAAGCAGGAATCGCAGAGGCTGTAGGCTTCGCTCAGGCGGTCTGGAGCGGGCCGGAGGATTTCACTGTAGTGCTGCACTCTGCTCCTCATCACAGCCAGCTTGCTAACAGCTGATTCTGCACACAACATGCTTAAGTGCTCTTTCTACCATAATAACAGTCTGCATGCAACATTATCATAAAACTGTAAAATCAGGGCCAGCTTTAGCTGAGGACAGGTGCTCCAAATTGGGGACTGTCCCTGGAAATCTGGGACGTCTGGTCAATACCTTGGTCTCTAAAAACTTGTTTTCCTCTTACAGTGGGGGAGCCAATCACGGTGCCTAAAATTGAGGACCCGACAGAGGAGATGGTGGATCTGTACCATGGAATGTACATCAGGTCGCTCCAGTGCATTTTTGACAAGTACAAAACCCGCTTTGGCCTGAAGGAGAGCGACATCCTGCACATCCAGTGAGAGGACCAGGAGCAGAGCTTCTCTCCTCCCGCTGCCTCAGCCGTCCGGTTTACCTCTGGAGCATGAAACCACACACCTGTAGACGTCTGCTGAAGAAATCTCCGTCCACCGCAGTGTTCTCAATGTCGGCTCGCACAGCTGTCGCTGGAGCTCAGGAAAAGACTGGCTTAAAGGATGGTTGCCTCACTGCAGAAATGTGTTTTTTGTTTTTGTTTTGTTTTTGGACAAAGTTACACCAAACACCACATCAAAAGCTGTGCCTCTTCTGGTTTATTCGTGTCTCTAAGAAGCCTGTACTGTCCCATTCAGGCAGAGGGGGGTAAGCTCCACTAGATGGAGCTGGAAAATCAACTTTAAACACACAAACAATGCAAGTGGCAAGCACCACTTTAATAATGTTTAAGAAGCCTAAAGTTAATTGAGCCAAAGGTTTGTTTTGTCCCACCTGCTGATTTCTGTGGGATGTACACAGACGGTGTACATTTTCTACAGGCTGGATGAACTTTACCCATGTGCCTGTAACTGAAGATGCCATAAAGTATTAATTGTATTCCTTTAAGGTGATTAAGCCCGTTTGGTTGATCCCCTCTAGAGTATTTCTCATGCACTTTTATAAGCGATTAAGCTCTGAAGCTTGTCTTAACAGTCGGCTTTAATTTCGTTTTTGAGAATATCTATCTGCTGCTTACGGCTTAATTCTAGCTGGACGCCTGTTATCTATGCCGTGAAAACTGATCATTCCTCTGTCTTCACACCTTTGTTTGAAAAGTTTTGAGGTTTAACAGGTGGATTGGGTTTGTTGGTGCCAAAAACCTAATGGGTTCCAGAAAGTGATGTAGTTTGATCAGTCAACATTGATTCTTTGTGTTAAAGGGATTCAGGCCTTTGGAAGGAGGCTCTGTTAAAGGAAGGAGTCAATAACTCACCTGCAGTATGGAAGGAATATTGGTCCATTATTGTTGGAAACAGAGAACATGTTTTGTTGATGGAAATAAAATTTTAAAAATGATTTATATCAAAAAGGAAATTGCAATCCAGAAATGAAACCGAAAAACTTCTTAATCAAAAGAAAGTTTGAAGATTAACTTAACTGTTTTCTCTAGCTTTTTATTTTTATCTTTTTTCACATATAATGTTCTAAAAATCATTTTTTTATTTTTTTGTTTTTTCCATTGAGTTACCGTAACCAATTCCATTCTTGCAGATCATCTCTTCACCTCTGGGGGGCGGGCTTTCCTCTGGAACGAGGAGCAAAGATGCATTTCTTTTAGCCTGCCTGAATGCTAACATTTAATTGTTTTTTTTGTATTGCGCTTGAGGTGAAGAGAAAGTTTTCTCTGAAATGCAATTTGAAAAAAATCTAAATTCATAAAACTCGATCTGAAAAACAGAAATTTGAAAAAAATCAAATCTAATTTCTAACAAAACAGCAAAGGTACTCTTAAAGCCTTTTTTTGATTAAGAAGTTTGTTTTTTTTTGTTTCCTTTCTTTGTTGCATTTCATAAACTTTCATTTACAAAACATGTTCCTTGCTAAGACAATAATGGAACAAAATCTACTCCATAGTGCAGTTCACTCTTTTTGAAGCATCCTTTAGCTAGATTAAAGCTAAGGGCTAGGCCTACTTTTGTTTTAAAAACATTCCACCTATTTGTTTGCCTTTTATCTGACCTTTAAACCATCATTATGTTTATTTGAGGCTGTTATTTACTCTTAAGTAGATGATTACATAGACCGGAACTAGAGGCAGGAGGATGGTTCGCCACCAATGACCTCCCTGTTGTTTTGAGTTACTCTGAGAAACATTTCACATTTTATTTTTTTACAAAAATCACTGTTGGCGCTCTGCTTTTAGATTCACATCCCAGTGTAAGGAAATATCTGATTGTAAATAACTGCTTATTCTAAGCATCATGATGGTTCAAATGGTTTATGCAGAAATCTTTGCTTTTCTTGTTTTTAAGATGGGAGTTATCTAAATGGTGGTACGATGCAAAAACTGAAATATAAGTTGGATTTTATTGGAATTGGTGAATTCTGCCTTATTTTGAGCAGGTAATGTGCCAATGGGTTAAGTGGATTTACATTTAGAATAAGAAAACTGTTATCCTGTTTTGTTGTGAACTTAAGGATAAGTTCACTTAAATGTTAACTTATCCTTTTTTTTTCTTCTTTTTTTTAAGGGCAAAATAATCTGTTGGCAGATCATGATAATTAGCTGCTCAAATTTAAGGCCAAATACACTTTTTAAATTTTTTTAAATTTCATTTCATAACAGTTTTTGCAATATCAAAATCTCCTCTGGTCTTAGCCTCTCTCAGCCTAGTTGTTAGCTTCAGCCATGGCAACTAACTAATCTAGTTAGTCCCCAGAAAGTTCTCCTCCTTAAGTGCTAAAACAGAACTTCCTTTCAAATGTGGAGTTAACCCTTTAAGCTGCGTAGTGTTTGCAGGTTTTCCTGTCCCCCTGCTAATTGTTCTGAGCAGAATCGTAACTCTGTAAGAATCACATTTTTAAGGTAACGTCATGTTGATCTGTATGAAGGTAGTCTGTAATAAGCTGGAAGATAAATTTCCTCTCGTCTCAACACTGTGACTTCCTCAGAGTAGTGAATCCCAGAGCAATGAAGAAGATGCCTTCTGATGGACGTCATCTGTCTTTAAATATTTAAATTAAAATTTTGTATGTTTCCAAGAGACCTGGATCTGTTTTTGTGTTTTTGTTGAACCATTTTCTGCAGGCTCCTCGTTATCATTTGCACCTTTGAACAGGCCAGCATGTGTCATTAAGACTAGAAAACAAAAATGTAAAATTCTAGATGTTTGGAATATAGAATTTTTGTAATTTTATTAAGGATCCCCATTAACTGTTGCCATGGCAAACAGCTAGTCTTCCTGGGGTCCACATTAAAAACATACAGTAAAAACGGTTACAAATATAAAAATTTCCAAAAATGTAATTTCTTAAAATTACTATAGGAAGTACAAAAGAACAAGTAAAATAAAACAGTCAATAAAACAAAACACTTCAGGGCATCAAATGGAGTCTCAGATTCTTCTTAAAGGATCATTTACTTTCAGTGTAGCGGATGTAGTGAGGATGTAGTGAGGTAGAAGTGAAATATCTAGTTGCTTAGTGACAAATTAATAGGTATCCATTGTTTTATTAATTCACACTGTCCGGTAGCTTTGAAACTAACAAACCTAACTAAAGTGTGGTGCAAACCTACACTCCTTTCTACATTTGGTCACATTATTACCACAAACTTCAATGCATCATGATCAGAACAACAACCAAGGAACACAGCAAAAGGATATCCAAAACAACCCACACCATGCTGTTTAATCCATATATATATAATTGGATGGAATATGGTTCAAACCCACCAAGACATGACTTTGCTGCTAAACTGACAGTTCAATTCAGTTTAAGATGGGCATACACTGTATGATTGTTTTTTTTTTGTTTTTTTTTTCCGGGCCGATCTTACAGTCGTGCGACAATTTTTAGATCGGGCCGAGTCGTATTATACAGGGGCGTAACAAGGGGCGATTAGCTTCTTACGACCACCTACCGATCAGGAATTGTAAGGTCGGGAGAAAATCAAACCTGTTTGAAATTCAGTCGGGCATTGTAAGGTGTTCGTGGGCAACTCCTGCTGTTGAAGCAGAGCTACGAGCTCGATTTAAGGGCAGATTAGACATCAAATGTCGCTTGGGTCTTGTTGCAAACCAGTTTTGCTGGTATGCTTCTGCACCGTTGGTCTGGAATTTCTAGGGAAGCAAAGCAGTTTCCCGCCAAAGCGCAAGGGGGAGCCTTATTCGAGAACTCGCGAGAACTTCGGTGGCGTCGGTGGGAGTTTTTCATCTTCCAAAACATCAATGGCGCGTCTGTAAGATATCACAGTCACAGAGATGGATCTAGAGCTTCTAGATATCGAAAAGGAACAGGATCTGGCTGATCGCCATCCAGCAGTTGGCAGAGACCTTGGCATCTTTATGTAATTTGTCTGAGGCATTGTACAAGTGATTGTACTTCCTAGATTAACCTTTCGTCATAGTTGTCCATCGTAGTTGTTCCCCGGGTTTTATAAATGGCGCCCCAGCATCAAATCGAGAAGGACGAGCACACAGACAGCCGGAAAGGACCAATCACAGATGCTTTTTGTCAGCGCACTTCCGCTTGAGGTCTGCGCCGGTTTGTGACCATCCGACGCGTAGTCAGGATTTGGATGAGGTGCACAATGACGATTGTAGAACCTCAACGCGGGGGGTGTGGTCTTGCACAAAGACAGATTTGATGGTTGCAGAGGCTATGCGTCAGAAGCATAAATTGGCCTTTAGTTGACTGCGCATGTGCAGACAAGGGAGGTCTTCTTCCAGATTGATGTCTCTTGGTGCTCAGTCAGACTTCTGGTTTTTAAGGGACAGTCAGATCACTGATGTAAGATGGAGCTTGGCCATTTAAGGCTTTAGACCACAGGTGTCAGAGTCGTTCCAGAAAGGGCCGTGTGGCTGCTGGTTTTCTTTCCACCCAAGCAGTAGCACACCAGACTCCATTCATCTCATCAAGGTGAGTCTAGTCATAACCTGATGACTTGATGGGATGAATGGAGTCTGGTGTGCTACTGCTTGGGTGGAAAGAAAACCAGCAGCCACACGGCCCTTTCTGGAATGACTTTGACACCCCTGCTTTAGACGTTCAGGTAAGGAGAGTGTGCTATCTGTGGAGGAGCTGCAGAGACACAGCCCAGGTGGTGGAATCTGAAGAAAGGACATGGCCTCTAAACATCAGTTATCATATGGGGTGTAGCAGGTCTCCATCTATTAAAACTGACCATCAACTAATATTGAAATAAGAATGAGCAATTTCTCGTCAGATTTTTAATCCCAAAACTAGAAACTGGAATTCCTTACACTGTTTTGTTGCCTTAAGACATTATCCCCCCCAAAAAGCCTTACATTGTGGCTGCAAGATGAACAAATATAAAAAATGGTAAATAATTAATTTAATATTTACATTGCAAAGTGTGTTTACTAAATACTACAAAAAATGGGTCTGTTTTATATGGATACTAACAGAAACTTTCAAAAAAGGCCTGTAAAAAAGTAAATCTGTTTATATTTCACAGAAAGCCAAAAATCATTACTTAATACACTTTTGTTAAAAGGCTGGAAATGGGATGGAGTCGTCCCCTAGTGGTCAATAAATATTCCGCTTGCGTCTTGTTTTCCAGATTTATGCTTAAATCAGATCAAATCAAAATGTATTTATATAGCAAATGAATACCAAAGTGCTTAACAACATGATTAGAGATCATACATACAATAGAAGGAGTGAACATGGAAAACAACTAAATCAAAAAACATACAAAAGAATGAAATTGTCACACCACTGCTGCTGTAGATTAATACGTAGTTTTTATTTTGGCGCGATAATTCTCAGGAACAAATGCAAATAAATAATAACAATATTACAAATAAGCTCTGTGAGTATTTAATACACAATAACATAATTTATAATGGGATAAACGTTTTTGCAGAGAAAATTATCACCTTGTGATAACTTTGCGTTGGTAAAGAATATCAATATTAATATAAATTATTAACAATTTGTAGTAATTAGAAATCTTAGTGTAGTAAACATGCAAATTCTGTTGAAATAATAAAATAAGGTAATAATTGTGTTTACCTTAGGAGACTAAGGCAATATAGAAAATAGAGCAAACAAGCTCAGACGGAACAAAACCAAAGGAGAAATACTAAACGGTAATTTAATCTATAAAAACATTTCTAGGATTTGACATGAACCAGTAAATCTCCTCAGAAATGTATTCAAAAATATGTCAATGAAGAGAAGAAACAAGAGAATAAATCATGGTACATTTGACTGCAACATCCAATCGTGAAAGTCAAATTCTCCTCAAAAACCACTTAAACAGATAGCGGTAAACAAAACAAAAAAATAAATAGATCAACGAAAAAAAAAATACAGAATTGCTTTAATTCTAATATTAAACATAGAAGTTTAATTGCTGGGGACTTTTTTAACAGAGAAAGTGTGCAGCCCGGTGCTGTTCTGTCACTTGAATGTCACGCTGCTCCTACAACTTCCTCATATTTAGCAGATTTTACAGAATTTAGCGGACGCTGGCCTATTCCTGGTTGACTAACGCATCTTTCAACCAATAGGAACGCTCATTGCCAAGACCGAGCCCCGCCCTCTTTTGATGGACGTCCGTTTGAGCCAATCACGGACCTCCTTGACGTACTTCCAATTCGGAAACGGACTTCCGAAGCAATTGTAGCAGATAGCCTGCACTTTGTTTACGTCTGACCAGCTGCTGGACTGACAGCTCCCGGAGAGCTTTAAACGCGTGTCTGAGCGCCTGCCGTGGTTCCCTGCATCTTGGTGAACTTTCGGAGGGAAACACTGGGGATGGAGCGTTTTGTTGAATGAGGGGGACTCGCTAGATGCCGACAGGAGGATGAACTCCATCACCGGTCGGGCTCTTGCCTCTGTCACCAACTCTGGAGCTTCATCCTCTCGAGCCCTGCATGTGGAGCTCACCTCCCAGCAGGTAGGCCTCCCCCTGCCCCCTCCCGCGGGTGGAAACAGAGGAGAACTTTGATGGAGTCATGTGTTTGTGTGTTTGGAGGAAATCAGGCCTGTCGAGCTAGCCACAGCTAGCTTGTTTTAGCTAGCTTGTAGAATATAAACTGACCTCTTGAACTCTGGGTTCTCTTAAAACTATCTAAATACATTTTGTATAATTATGACAATCCTCTTATTTCTCTATTGGGTGTGTTATTTATGGTAAAAAAATCACTAATTGTGTTGACAGCAGCACTGCTTCAGAAAATGTGACACAACTGGACGTTAGATCAGTCAGCATGTGACAGGTCACTCACTGGAAGCCGATAAGCTAAACGGCTATACTCACTGCAATCGTTGTACTACTGTTTTTTTAAATTATTTTTTCGCTTCTAAATGATATTGTCTTCAATTTTCATTTAAACGTGTTAGTTGTTAATAAAGAAAAGCTGATAATCTCGTTCATTCATTTGGAGGCATGGTTAAGAACGCTTGTAAGCGCGCGCAACACTCCCATATTTTGGTACAAATGCAAACAAAAGGAAGCTTCATGAGCCTTTTTGTTTTTGATAAGTTAAACCACTTTCCTCTACATCTATTGGCATTCTGAGAAACAGGACAGTGTAGTCTTGTTTCTCTGACTGTCACTGGCTGAAAATGCTCTCTTCATCCTCTGACATGGGAGCAGGCTGGGAGCTCATCTGCCTGGCTGAGTGTTTCCTGCCTTTTACAGTTGCTTTTTGTGTCTTTTGTGTCTCTGCTTCTGTCTCCTTGAACCCCAGTCAGCCTCGGCAGATGGCCGCTCACACTGAGCCTGGTTCTGCTGGAGGTTTCTTCCTGTTAAAAGGGAGTTTTTCCTCTCCACTGTCGCTACAAGCATGCTTATTGTGAGGGATTGCCTTTGAGTCAATGAGTCGATGCAGTCAACTGGTTTCCTTGCATAGAAAACTTTGAATCAATTTGACTGTATGATCTGGTTGAACTGTAAAGTGCCTTGAGATGACATGTGTTGTGAATTGGTGCTATAGAAATAAACTGAATTGAAAAAAAAAAATAGAATAATATACGTTTAACAATGGTAAACATGCTCAGTTTTCTTAGTATATAGTCCCTTAAACTATAAGTAACTTCATTTTTCATGGTAGTGACTGACTGGTGTTAGTCTGACTGATTTTACAGCAGGTGTTCTGAGTTCTACATACCAGCTATGTTTAAACATGATCATTCTTCCTTAAATTGATCAAAAGATCTGACTAGGCATCTATGGATGCACCAATCCAAGGGTGTAGCTCTGTGATGAAAGTTTATGGTGACGCTCTAACGTTGGAGGCTGATGGACCTACAGTTATTCCACCTGAACCCTTTTATTAGGTTTTTGCGTTTTCCAAAAATGAGCTCAAACATTTATTTATTGAATGCTTCCCTATTGTTGAGAACAAAAGAGAACCAAAATACACTAATATTTATATTTATAGATGTTAGAGAGAAGCCTTTTATTGCATGACATTATAGGGCCCAAAAAATATTAATGTATAAAAAAGAAAATATATGAATAAGAGCCGATTCCGATGCCAAAATTGATATGTCATGCATCCCTAAAAGTACGATTTAAATTCCATCCATCCAGAAAAATATGGATATGCTGCATTTTAAATATAGCAAAGCATTTTTTTTTTTTTTAAACTTTCTGGTAAACTTGGAGATATATTTTCTTACATGTTGCATATCAAAGTACATCTGTTTCCCCTTTAAATCTGCAGCTCTCACTACTTCTCTCTGTGCTTGAGAACAACACATAAAACAGACCCATTATACAGATGCAGAAATTGTAATAGAATAGACATCCATTTTTAAAAACCGAGGAACAACTACAATGGACATCTATGACAAAAGGTTAATCAGTCTTTTTGCCAACTCCATTAACAGAACCTGTTCCTCTTCGATGTCTAGCAACTCTAGATCCATCTCTGTGACCATGATATCCATTGTTGTTTTGGAAGATAAACACTCCCGCCCCTTCCACCGAAGTTCTCGCGAGTTCTCGAATAGGCTCCCCCTTGTGTTTTGGCGGGAAACTGCTGTGCGTCCCTAGAAATTCCAGACCGACGGTGCAGAAGCATACCAGCATACCTGGTTCTTGACCAGACCAAACCCACATTTGATGTGTGCGGTTGCAGAAGTCTAATCTGCCCTTAATCATGCTACGTTGCGCTTGCTTCATGGTACGGGCCGGTGACAGTGAAATCATTTCAGTAATTATCTAAATGTCTATAATGATAATAAAAGGTAGACGGACCAAACCCAGTGAACTTTTATTCAGTTCAACCTAAACTTAAAAACATTTGTAGTTTAAAAGCTGCACAAGGTTCATATGTTGATGTTCTGCTTGTTTTTAAAGTTTCTCATCATTCATCCAAACAGCCTTGAAAATATAAAAGTATTGTTCATTTTAAGATTCACATTGATCAAAATGCTATATTAGTAAATATGGTTTTCATTTTAAGCCATAAGCTGAAAAATGTCCTGTTGTCAGCCAAGTTGCACCAGAGCATGACACTACCACCGCCATGTCACTTGCATGAAAAGTGAGATTTTCGTCCCCGTAAACTCCCGTAAACTCCCGCAGATCTGCCTGATTTTCGTCAGTTTCCGACAATTTGCAACCCGTGCTTGTCCGCGTTTGTCGTGCCACAAATTGTCGGAAACGTACCGTGACGTATGTGGAGAGCGATCAGCTGTACTAATGGCCCTAATTAGCATATGAATACAGCAAACCCGCGCGGCTGGCCAAGTCTGGCTTGAATAACCTTCTCAGTATTGGCTGAAACCACTATTCTCAAACAAATGAAATCGCTCGTGATTGGCAGCAAAACCACACGTGGCCACGCCAGGCTTTAATTTTCTTACTGAGTATTGGACGGAACCACTTCTTTTTAAACAAGTAAAGTCGCTCGTGATTGGTTGGCATATATATATATTTACATATAAATTTACATATATATATATTTATTCATATATATATATATATATATATTTATTCATTCATATATTTATTCATTCATATATTTATTCATTCATATGCTGTGTATTTATGTTATCCTACACTACTACACAATTATTATGCTACCATCAAGGACATGAATGAATTTATACAGGAAATGAAGATTTGCCAGGAAGCTGTTTATGCAAAGAAAGAGCTTTATTAAAACACACACAACTATATACAACGCGTATCCAAACACATGCGTTTCTAAAAATTAAAACTCCGTGAACGGTCCGTTTGCTTCCTCGGGGTTGGAGGTAACTGGCAGCATTCCCTCCGAGGCAGGTCCGATGTGCAGACGCCTAGTGTGCGTGGCCCTGTACTTCGGCATCGCTTCTAACCGGGACTGCAGCTTAACACAGAGTTCAGAGGGATCCGGCATACGAAATGGCGGCGACCGTACAATCCATCCAGAGACACCGCCGAGGAAGGCGGACTTCCAGAGTTCCACTTCCTCATCTGCTAGCACACTCTGCCTCGCTTTCAGCAGCTGAAAAAAAAAACAATGAATCAGCGCACTGCGTATGGACACAACACATCTATCAATGCACCTGAAAAATAGTCACCAAATAAAGTCTTGCCATCTTTCTTCTGGCCCGACTCCGAGCAGATAGCCTCCGCACGCAGCGTGTGGCTGGCTGCGTATATCTGAAGCTCCTGCGTACCGTCTGAAAATACGTCTTACAGGCAGCTGGAAAACAATTAAATGAGAGTGGTATGAATGAAAAATCAAACGCAAGTCACAGTAACAAGGAAGGAGAAAACATTAAAATAAGTCACTTACACACAATGTCGTCTTTATCAACATCGTGCAAATCTGGACTTGCCGAGATGGGAGGTCTGTGAAAACAAAATGTAAAAGCTATGATCGGTATCCATCCGTATCCATTGCCTTTTACCGCAGAATGAAAGCATATTCTTTAAATCTTACCCTTGCTCCGGTTCATAGCGCCTCCAATTAGTCTCCGAGTTGTGAAGACGGCGTACTGCTTCCTGTAAATCACAAAAAATACACTTTAATAAAGCTTGTTCTAGCAAGGCTACTATTAGCCGCTATTAGCCGGTAGCTTAGGCTAGGCTGCTTTTAGCTTAGCAGGCAGTAATCGAACATATATTTACCGCTAGCATCTCTTCTTTGAGTTCGTCTTGTTCGATGCAGAGTCGCCATCGCGTCCAAGAGGAGTTTTACCCCGAAATCCAGAAGCTCCAGACCGCCTGCACAAAGCAAAGCATACATCCTCCACTGTGGCTGCACACCGCCGTTCTGAGTTTCTTGGAGATCGTAGGGAGCATGCGCGAGATGAACCAGGGTTTCCGCGGATCAATAAAAATAATTAAAAAATCATTCTTTTTTTTTTTTTTAATCAAGGCCTTAATTGGCACTAAAATTATTTAAATAGGTTTATCGAAGTATTTATAATTCTTTAATAAAAAATGCTTATAAAAACAATTTCGTCAGATATATTATATCGCTCCAGGCGGAGAAAAAGCTAGAGGATATACATATACGTATATATGTGTGTATGTGTGTGTGTTTATATACATACAGGAGTCATGGAACTGTGCTTGCAGCTCCTTCATATTTCATGTACACTAATAACTTGTGTACATGGTTCTTGTTGATGGCATTAAAATCATTTCAAATAGCATTAAAATAGCATTAAATTAGAGTCACTCATTCCTGTATGAACCCTGTGAGTACTTAATTTAATATGACATATTAAAAAAATCCCACCATCATCCAGCATATGTTCAGTTTCTGCCCAAATATGTAGATTTTTGTAACGGGGATAAGGATAATTCAAAACTGCTTTTTTTTGAATGAACTTGTTCACTACTTCCAAACTCAGCATCTCTTTTCATTCCTGTAATAAGAAGTTTCTTTTGAATGGATTTGATTAAAGTTTAAGTCCCTCGGTATAAAATAAATATTTTGATGGAGA